AGTTAAAGGTTTATGAAGAAGTTAAAGTGAAGTCTGATCAAACAGCAAAACACATGAAGGTCCAGGCCCGACGCACAGAGAGGCAGATTCAGGAGCAGTTTAAGAAGCTTCACCAGTTTCTAGAGGAGGAAGAGGAGGCCAGGATGGCTGCACTGAGGGAGGAAGAGGAGCAGAAGAGTCAGGTGATGAAGGAGAAGATGGAGGCTCTGAGCAGAGAGATAGCAGCTCTTTCAGACACAGTCAGAGCCACAGAGGACGAGCTGAGAGCTGAAGACGTCTCATTCCTGAACAACTACAAGGCTGCAGTGGAAAGAGTCCAGCAGCGCCCCCTGCTGGAGGATCCACAGCTGCTCTCAGGAGCTCTGATAGACCAGGCCAAACACCTGGGCAACCTGACCTTCAACATCTGGAACAAGATGAAGGACATGGTCTCCTACACTCCTGTGGTTCTGGACCCAAACACTGCTGGTCCAGACCTCATCCTGTCTGAAGATCTGACCAGTGTGAGACGAGGAGAGGAACAGCAGCTTCCTGCTAACCCAGAGAGGTTTGATGGATACTATATGTGCTCTGTTCTGGGTTCTGAGGGATTTAACTCTGGGACTCACATCTGGGACGTCCAGGTTAGAGACAGTACAGACTGGTCTCTGGGGGTGATAGCAGAGTCTGTCCAGAGGAAGAGAGACATACTGTCTGGATTATGGTCAATATGGTTCAATGGAAGTAAATACAGAGCTTACTCTCCATCATCAGATCCGTTCACTGTTCTCAACATCCAGAAGAAATTCCAGAGGATCAGAGTGAAACTGGACTGGAACAGAGGAAAGCTGTCGTTCTCTGATCCTGAAACCAACACACACATACACACTTTCACACACACCTTCACTGAGAGGATGTTTCCATATATAAACACTCAGAATCTCCATCTGAAGGTTTTACCAGTGAAGGTCTTTGTGTCTGTAGAACAACAGAAATAGAAGATGTTGACGGTGATGATGACGCACTTCATTTTCTTCTGAGTCTTTGAGGAACATGTGATGTTGTCCTGATGATGATGATGATGATGGTTTTCATGGTGATGAAGATAATATCTGCAGTATAACATATATAAAGTGTGGTGTGAACGCTGGATGCTGAGAACTTGACGCTACACTGAATTGTCGGTTTAATTTTTTTGGCAAAGTTGAATATTAAGAATAATAGGAAAAGTGGGAATCGGTTTAATTCGTATGAATGTCATCGACAAGATGAATGACGACAATAATGTATAAAAGATGTGGAATATTTGAAGGTTTTGAAAGATGAAGCGAAACTGCTGGCTGTAATCTGTAATTTCTGGCTGTAATCTGCGTGAAAAAGGGGAAATAGTAGAAATAGTAGGAATGAGGTTAATTTGTAAGAATGTAATTCAAAAGTCCAGCATCACAGTATTAATCCTTGTTCAGATACGGTTTCCTTTTGGGGCTTTTACTTTGAAAGACTAAGTCTATTTAGTCTAAGTCCAAGTCTAAAAGTATTTGAAAAATGTGTATGTCATGGCAACCAGTGACATGATAGGCCTCATAATGAGCCTTCTATTAACATACATTTACTCAATAAGGCTTTTATTTTGAAGGGGTGAGGGGCTGTTGGAGAGAGGGATGGGTCCAACAAACAGCAATGCTTCATTCAGGAGACTGCTGTTCATTCTCCTCGTCAAACTAAAGGTCAACGTTGATTTATTTATCTAACTTTTGTTCTTCAGTAACTTCGTAGTTATTTTAACCCAAACCACGATCTTATTCTGAATCTAACTCAGTAATCGTGTTGGCTAAACCTCAATGAGTAGTTTCCTGTAAAGACAGAAGTTTATTTTGAAAAGAGCATTTGCGTGTTACAAGCTGAAATTGACACGTGTTGCTGGACCTTCGTAGGACAATGCACAAAAAGTGAGGAGTTACTTTTGGTTATCATAAGATGTCATAAGATATCATACGAACTGTTGTATGAGGAAACGTCAGAGAGGCAGAGTCACACTGTCTGGTATCAGTAGGATCGTCATTAGATAAGAATGTTGTTTGTGTGTCAAACTGCACTAATTAGCTGATAACAATTAGCCGTTTGTCTGAGAATGAGAGTCAGTTTAAGAATTGGTGAAGTTTGTTGGAATGCTTTCTACAGTAGAGCCTCTCAGCAGTTGGTTGGAGATCTTCTCACTTATAGACTTCTGTGAACAAATGTTGAGAGCGTTTACTTCCACAGTGACGTAGTCAGAAAAAGACACGGCTTTACTTTCAATTTGATGTGAAATGATGTGTGAAATGCAAAGAATTGTGGGTAACATGGTGATGGTGACTGCTATGTATAAAGCCAGGGAGCTGTTGAGATCAATTACTTTAAAAGAAGCGGTGACGCATTCATTTTTATGTTGATGTGTTGCATCGTGAGATTATTTGTATTGTGTTTTTTTGAAGGTTTGGCCCAGTGGTGCTCTCATTCACACTGGATTTACATCTGGGACGTTAAAATAGCATTTTACCTTTTGTGTTTGTTTCGTGTATGATCATGTTCCATGTGTACTCATGTAAGAGGAAAGAGACTCCAGATTTAAGTTTACAGATAACAAACATATTCTCTGAGACAAAGTCATACATTTATGAGAAAACAACTCGGAAAAATTGTTGAGTTACAGGAAAGTAGAGACGAAAACTTCTGTCTTTGACGACACGAAGCAAAGCGAACACTAAAAACTAACGTTGAGAACGTTGATCCGAACACAAAGCGCTGTGTTCACAGCTGTGGGACAACAGCACAGAAACATAACTGATTTATGGGGAATTATGTCCCTTTCAATGGATATTTGATGGTGGGAGGAGCTACACTTATATTATTGATTATATGTCTTTAAAAGTGAACGTGTTTTAGAGAATTTATTTTACATTATTATTCTACATTCCTCAGTAAAAATGTTGCTTTTGTATCTTCAAATGTTCAAACGACATCTGAAGGAGAATGTTTGTGATTCACTCATTTATACTTTGATGTTTTAATAAAAGGTGTCGGGAAAAAATATAGTTTGGTTGCTTTAATGCAAACATGCTGGTGTCATATAGAGCTTAAACAGTGACAACCTCAGAACATGAAATATATCATCAGCCTTTCAGAGGAGCACGCACACACACACACACACACACGTCCAGCTGTTCAGTTAGTTTTGTGTAGTTAACTGACTGTGAGCAGCATGTTAAACAGATAAGAACAATACAAACCTCCTCAGTGCTGCAGCTCTTTAACAAAGAAAATATAAAAACCAAAAATAAAACAAAACCTGTTGATGCAAAAGATAAAATACTGAAGTTAACCATCAGAAATGTTGATGCTTCTTCACGAAATGTAATTTATCAAAACGACGTGACCAACAGTCACAGGATGTAAATGTCTAAGCCACGTTTTTATTAAACTGAAGATGTGACGTTACGTTTTCATGACAAATGTCACAATGATGAACAATTTGCACATCAAAATGCTACAAACTGTGTCCTCAAAGACAAAGAGGAATAACACATTAATAAAAGTTTAATTGAATTAACAGAAAATCGTCAAAGTGAAACGTGACTGAAGTCTTGTTCTCATCATCATGAATATTAGTTTCATGTCGGCACCGTTAATCTACTGAAGAAGAAGAAGTAGTGATTAAAAGACTCAAACTCATAACATCAGTGAACATGCATCCGGATGCTTGAATGGAAATAAGTAGGAACTAAAGCTGAGTCAGCACTTCTGAGAAGGCCTCTGAAGCCTTTTAAAGTGCACGTTCAGGGTGGAATCATCAGTTTTCAGCAGTTTGCTTTAAGTGCAGAGACCTCTGCAGGACAACGATACAGAGATGTGTCCAGAACCTCGGCAGTCCCCCCCCCGGACTAGCTGCAGGAGCTCCGGCTCTTCAGCAGCTGGTTGAGGACGCTGGTCCGTCTCAGCGCTCTGAGGTCGGAGACGTCCTCCGCGATCACCGGGACGTCCTCGCCGCGGTTCGTCTCGTTGTCGTCGTCGTCAGAGAGCGTACAGAGGAGGGCGTCGTTCTCGTACGTGGGGAAGTAATACCTGAGGAGAGACGGGGGTCAGAGGTCACCAGCCTGTAGGGAGGACCGAGGGGTGGTGTTGGTGGAGGCAGAGCGTTTTAAAGTCGAACGGTTTAAACACAGATATGTGTGTATGAATAAATAGAGGAGAGCACCACTGTACCATAACAATATACAATATACAAGCATAACCTTAATCATGTCAAATATATACATTCAACAGAGTCAAAACAAAAAGCAGGTATTATTGGCTTTTGTGGGAGATAATTATGTTCTGAGCTTTGGAACTACAGTTCCCACAATGCTTTGCCCCAGGAAGTGTCATAGTGGCATAAATTGGACTAGAACCAAACAACTTGAAGCTATATTGTAGAAATGATCTCGTGGAAGACGTCCTCCCTCACTGGCTTCCCTCCATCGTCGCCAGAGCTGCAGGAACATGATACATATGTATAATAAACAGATAATAAACAGATAATGAAGTAATTGCGCTGACTGCGGCTGGTTCCAGGTCGACGCGTCCGGCAGCTTCATCACGTGCCCGGTGGCCTCGAGGTGCCGGATGACGTCGTCTCTGGACTCAAACTTCTGCTGGCAGCCGTAGCAGCGGCTCTGGTGGATCTCACGCCGGATGAAGTTCACCAGTTTGACCTGCTGGTAGAACCGGAGGTCTGGGGGGGGGGGGGGGGAGACATCATCACTACTGTTTTATTTCTGGACTAAAGTCAAATGTTTATGCATAACTATTGTGTGTTTCTAGATCTCGAAAGTCCACGTTCGTCATCAGTGAGCTGCTTCTTCTTAAAGGGACAGTGTGCAGGATTTGACCTCTGTGTCAGAACTACGGTGGTCTCTCTCATTCGGTTTGTCCATTCTGGGCTAGAATCACATCTCACGGGACGGCGTATGAATAGCAAAACATTTTCTGTGTGACATTTGACGCCACGTCGTTAAAACTGTGAAAAGTGATGTTTAACATTAGTTAATTAATTAATTAATCATTAATTAAATTAATGATTATTATGTTACATTTCTGCAATAGATCCTCTGAATGCTTTAAATGTGATGATGATGATGAAGATGATGATGAAGAACTTTGATGTTAGTATTTGTTTTACTTACTGAGCTCCGTCCTCAGATTGTGGAGGTCAAAGCCGTGAGCTTCCTAAAAACATAATGAGAGGAACAACAATCAACAAAGACCAAAACTAGAGTCTAGACTAGACTGGACCCCGTTAGTCTAGACTAGACCCTGGTCAGTCTGAACTAGACCCCGTCAGTCTAGACTAGACCCCGTTAGTCTGAACTAGACCCCGTCAGTCTGGACTAGACCCCGTCAGTCTGAACTAGACCCCGTCAGTCTGAACTAGACCCGGTTAGTCTAAGTCACCTTCATGTGAGTGTAGATCTGCTCCATCGTCTCAGACTGATGATCACAGAAGAGACAAACAGCAGAGACCGGATGAGCCCTCCAGTCCGACCAATCACTGAGGACGACACAGGAAACAGGAAACAGGTCTACGTGAGGTTCTCTGTGGGGGTTCTACATACAATAAGAGATCCTTCTGGTTCCTACTCACTCCTGCTCCTCCTCGTCCACCAGATCCCGGTCGTCCTCACTCTGCACCTCCTCCCAGGTCTTCCCCAGCTCCTGACCGGAGAGCAGAGACATGAGAAGATCACACAGTGAAGGACAGCTCCACTAACACATCTGGTTCTGGAACCCAGAGGTGTTACCAGGTAGACAGAACCCAGAGGTGTTACCAGGTAGACAGAACCCGGAGGTGTGTGGAGGTGTTACCAGATAGACAGAAC